TAAATAAAATATGAGTTTTTAAAAAACCATTATCAGAATAATCAGTTGGTCCAATCAGCTGAGAAATAACTGGCAACACATTTGATGATTAATATAGCCATCAGCCAGGGCTCTGGGAAGCTGTGATGTTCACTATTTTCTGACATTTCATAGATAGATAAACAGTTAACTGATAAATTGAAATAATTAAAACAAATCATTATACTCAATCAGTGTTCCTTTGTTTTTTGAAACTGCATTGGACCAAAGGAGGAGCCAGACATTGTAAAAATTTGGTCTTTTTTTCCCATTTACAGCAGCTAAATGCACTTTTTTTCAAGCCTTTGAGATAACAGAATGCCTAAAATCTCTGAACAATTTGGGAAAAACCTGATAGTTGCCAAGAAAAATAACACTCTGTAGAGCCTGCATACTATTTTATATGTAAACGTTCTCCAATTGTTTCATCAGTCTGAAACCAGGACACAACAAATGTTAAGCATGACTAATTTCAAAAAGAGACAAAACATGTACTATTTTTAAGTTACATAACATGGATAGAGTAGGACTTTGGTGTAAACAGCATTACTAATCTTAAAACCTATTTTTGTTACACTGTGGTGGAGTAGAGTTCACAGCTGACAAATCTGCTACATTTAAATCCATGCTGTAATAACTTGCTCCTCATTGCAAACCAAGGATCCCCAACAATGCCAAGTCAATGTGATCTTTAATGCTCTGAATTGAATATCAGGCCAACAGAAGAACATTAACTGAATTATATTGGATTTCTGTAGGGATTGCCATATAGTCTGGGCTTTTGAGAAAACATTCAGAGCCCCAAGGATCTACCCTTCACCACTACCCCATCATGTCCCAGTGGTCTTCAAGGCCTGTTCATTCTTATTCTCAATTTGTCAAATACCACCGCTTTGTCAGTGATCACCAGCTGGCAGCAGTTGTTGACACAGCAGGCAACAACCGACCTTGAGAAATACCTCTGCTTTGTTAGTGGACGTCTGCGTCAGACACCAGTGCACAAAGGCACCTTTCGTATCATTATGAAGAACACTGTGCTGGTGGCTGTGTCCGACGCCATTGCCAACGGGTCCATGTCATTGGTCTGACAGCCCATTGGTCTGACATCCCATTAGTCCGACCGTCCGCGGTGCTGAACGGCTCCCGGCGGGCGTATTTCTACCTTGATGGTGCGCCGTGACCGGCTCTGGGTCAGCTGGGAAAGGCTTGAGGCGGAGCAGGCTCACAGCTTATGTGTTTGTCACTTTCTTTTTCATTTTAACTCACACCATGATCTTTTCCTAACCCTAACCAAGTGGTTTTTGTGCCTAAACCTAACCAGACCTTAACCACAGGGCATCATGATGATTTCGGAACGGACTTCGGAACAATGGGTTTAATATGGTCGGAACAATGGGATGTCGGACCAATGGGCTGTCAGACCAATGGGCAGTTCCCATTGCCAACTACCGTAGGCAGGAGTAGAGATGGACTTTCACCCCTGAGGTTTAACACCACCTGCAGCACCTTGCCTCATATCATCCCCTCTGTTCCCTTTTCACAGTCCGACTGTCCTATCAAATGAAGGCAAAAAGCCAAAAATAAATCTTAAAATCAACTGTTCTGTATGTGTAGAATGCTATGGTAGTGATGTATGTTACAGGACATGTGTCACTTGACATTACATGACCATTACATTTAATTTGAAAAAGATAATATGCATGTAAGGAGCAGAAACTGCACATGTTCTTTGAAAATTGAAGTGTATGTTGAACAGACACGATGCATGTCATACTTGTCGGTGAAGATTCTCAGTCATCCGGGTCATGGTAATCGTAAGTGCTAATATCATAGGCAGCTGGACTTGCTTGTGTTTCTTGAAGACGTTTCACCTCTCATCCAAGAAGTGTGCGAAGTGTGAAGATGCATGTCATAAGCGTAAATTGACACGCTGTCCCACAGTGTCAAAAGTTGATGCTAGAGGCTGCCTAGCACATTGTGTTTTGACATTTTGATCCACTGACAGAGTGGGGTTTTTTGATGAGTTGGGATGAGAATGTGTTGCACAAGCCCTTATCAAAGTGTTTTTACAGGCTACTCGATCCAATATTCAGCAAGACCACATAGTCCTCCCGCCATGAATCTCTAGAGAAGCACGCTCTGTACAGTTTAAAAGAGTTTGTCTTTTAGTAGATAAGCAACTCAATATACAGTGACCCCCAGTATTACTGTAAGGTTTCAGGCCCAGCAGGCATGCTTCAGGACAGACTGGGAAATTAACATTGAAAAACTCTGACATAAGGGATGTAACCAGAGCGTTTTAACAACTGGACAGTCCCAGAGGAGGTGGAGTAAGGAACCTCAGTTGCCACAAATGTGCCAGCATAAATCTTGGCATTTGTTGTCCATCTTGGATAATCTGACAGGGGTCTACTCAGACTATTGTTTAATCCAAATCTCACACAAAGCCAAACTCAAATTGTGAGAAGCAGGGATATATTTAGGTCATGCTCCAAAGCCAGCTGGACCGAAATGATATATTAGGGGCAGCTCTAAATATTAAGTTATAGATATCTAAGACCACAAGCTGATGAAGATTTGTTTTTCAAAGAGAAAATTTTTTCAAAAATTCAGAAGGTTGCAGAGTTCACACACAAAACAGTGATTCCACATTAATAATGCTTAAAAATCTTTAAAAGAAAAGAAAGATATTATTGTAAAAAGTCTTTGAAACTCATTCCATATGAGAGCAGCAGAGCAGCTTGTGCTCAGCAGACACAACTGACACTAAAAATGCAACAGCAAGCAATATAAGATTTATATAAAGATGTAAATAATGTGAAAATACAGTGAAATAAAAAACAAAAAAACCCCAGCACAATTAGAGGTAGAAGTGTCCAGGGCTGCCAATCAGTGCTGACACACCGGGGAAATGTTAACAGCACCGGCACCGGTATCACAGCCATCTTGTTAGGAAGTGGAGCCGCTCGGCCCTGAAATAATCACCAGCACACTGTCAGGGGATATTATGGAACAAAGCAATATGCACTCTGTTATGAAACAGGAGTAATATCACTTACACACACGCGCAGGCACACACACAAGTATCCATATGTGCCTGTGCAGAAACGTGTTTTCATGTGATGTGTACGCAGACACACACACACACACACACACACACACACACACCGTGCCTTGATTTGAAAAGTTAAATGAAAACGATCCATACTCCACAGAGAGTCTGTGTCTGAGATTAAACTTGTTTTTTGTCTCCCTGTCGGCCCATTTGGAGTCTGTGGGGGGTAAAACAGGATGACACACACAACCACACACACACACACACACACACACACACACACACACACACACACACACCAAACAGAATAGCCTCTTCGCTGTTTATTGGGTATTTGGTTGATAATGCTGTTATATCAGCTGTGACTTTCTTTTGGGCTGTTGATCGGTGGCTAATAGGAATCTAAATGGATTCTTGGATGTTAATTGCCATGAAAATGCAATAACGTTAGCTTTGTGTTTGTGTGTTAACTCCGGGCGGTGCCAGACATGCATGCAGCCTAAATTGTAATAGCTCTTAATAGGTTTTCGGTGGGAGATTTGTCATAGTGGATGAATGAACTATTGTCTTTCTGTAAATCCCTTTGTGACTATACCGTTGCCTATCGCAAAATATAATTTGGAATATTGATGGCTTGGGATTGAAATGTGATGGTTGCCTGTGGGTTGTAATTAAAGTTGTTTGAGTAAATCATGCAGAGTTTAGATCAGATATGGAATTAGCTGTCGACTAAATCAAATAGAAAACAATGAACAGCAGCGTGTTTCGTAGCCTATTTGTCATAATAAACACCCCGTTGCTGAGATGTCTTGGTAGCAGAGTGAGTTTATAGATTGAAAAAACAAATAACATCTGTCTCGTGTGGCAGAGTGAACATTTTTAAGAGCCCAGGTTGAAGAGTTATGAATAATGTGTTAATTATATGTGTGGCCTCTTAGCAAAAACCCTTTCCTCTGTAATGATCCAGTTGTAGTTGTGTTGCGTTTAGTGATCTAGTGTTTTTATATCTGTGCCTGTCAACATGTCTCTGTAGGGTTGGTGTTAGCTTCACAGTATTAAGTCTGTCAGAGAATGACTCATTAAGACAGTGTTTTTAACTGTAAATCAGACACAGGCTTAGTCAGATCTGTACTATTCAACAGTAATCTGTAATTTCTCTAATCTCTAGTCTCCAAACTTCTCTCCGCCTCACACCCCCTTTCTCATACCACTTCTTTATCTCTCTGTAGCTCATAAACGCACCTTCCCTCTTTAAGTTTTTCCTCTTCATTAACTCATTACCATTCATAAGATGCTGATCCTGAGGGAACAGACCCCCCACTTCTTGCTCAGGATGTCCGGTGCACGTGCTGCAGCGCATCAGCAAATTAGTGACTCAGCAAGGTCTCATTATAGTCGCTGATAGACTGATTAACTGCAGAAACAACACGACTCTGGAGCTCAGGGACATGTGAGGCGTGCGCACAAGATACTCACAGACGCCAATGAGCGTGCGTGCAAACAAAAACAGGCACGCACAAACACACTCCCCGGGTGTTCCTTATCCGTGTCCTGGGGCTCAGTGCACGTGCCTTTTTACGTAAGCTAAGGAAGGGAAAGTCAATTTTGTGAGCACGTGCAGTGCAGGGCGGCGTGTTAGTGCGTAGATGTGTGTGTGAGATAGACATCTGACTGGAAAGTTGTTATCAATAAATCTGCTGAGCAGCTGGGAAATTGTTGCGAAAACTTTCTTTCCCTATTTCCCCAATAACTGAGGTGCCTTTGAACATAGCATTCAGCCCCAAACAGTAGAAAAGTGGTGTTGCTCTCTCTGCCAGAGGTGACTGAGCGTGAGAATGAAACACAGTCAGTGTATTCTCTTGACATGGATGAAAAAAAGGATGTGGGAAAATAATAATTGAACTCATCTGTGTGTCTTTGTCTCCAGGTGTCGTGTCTGCAAGACTTCTTTGGGGATGAGGATGTTTTTGTGGCGTGTGGACCGGAGAAGTTCCGCTACCAAGATGATCTGATGCTGGACGAGAGTGGTAAGGGGACTAGCAGCATTTCCATTCTGACAGTTGACCTTTGACTGGTCATTTGACTTATTGTTCACAAGTCGTTTTTGTGTGCTATTTTAAGGGGTGAGCAATTTACCACTTAATGCACTTACAAAATAGGAGTCGTGATACGTTATTCTGTTGTTTCAATAATTCTAAAATTTAGGGAATATTTAATTTCGAAATGGTAGTTTTAAATCACCATTTATTTCAGTGCAGTGGATTACAGTTTGACTATTTAAAGCAAGGCTGTGGCCATGGGGTCAACTCTGGGGGTGGGGGGAAATCTGCTGGGGGGTCTTGGGGGTCCCTCCTCATAAAAAAATTCTAAATTTGAAAATATATTTCCCACTTTATCCTATTATATATCATTTGCAAGTACAGCCATACATTGCACCAAAGGAATATGCAGTTGAGGGCTACTGTCTACATTAATTACACATACAAAATGATTGACACTTTACTCTTTATAACTTAATTAAGACATTAACGCTGAATTCCTGGCGGCACGCTCATACAGTGGTTAGCATTGTTGCCTCACACCAAAAGGTTCCTGGTTCAAACCCACTGTGGGGGAGCCCTTCTGTGCAGATTTTGCATGTCCTTCCCGTGTCAGCGTAGGTTTCCTCTGGGTACTCCGGCTTCCTCCCACAGTCCAAAGACACGCAGGTTAATTGGTGACTCTAAATTGCCTGTAGGGGTGAATATGAGCGTGAATGGTTGTGTCTGGTGATAGTCTGGTGACCTGTCCAGTGGGTACCCCGCCTCTTGCCCAGTGTCAGCTCGGATACACTCCAGCCTTGACCCTTAACAGGACAAGCAGTTACGGGAAATGAATGAATAAATTAATAAAGGTTGAATTCCTCCATGAGCCATGTTCTGATGGAGTACGGCAGCACCACTTGGACAAACCATACAACCATTCCTAAATGGAAAAGATGCCAAGAAATTGATTAATGCCTTTATTTCGAGTCAACTTGACTACTGTAATGCTCTTTTTACTGCCCTCCCAAAAAACACCACTGAGAGACTTCAGCTCATTCAAAACTCTGCAGCACAGCTATTAACCAGAACCAAGAGGAGAAAGCACATCAGGTCAGTCTGAGCTGCTCTACACTGGCTTCCTGTTACATTTAGAAGTGATATTATAAGCTCCTCCTCCTTGTCTACAAAGCCCTACATGGGCTGGGACCAAGCTACATTGCTAACTCCCTTGTTAACTATTTGCCTCCGAGAGCACTGCGATCATCTGCTGCTGGTTTATTGGAGGCTCCCTGCAACAGCTGGAAGAAGATCAGTGATGCAGCCTTTGTCAAGTATGCCCCAAAGCTATGGAACACACTACCTATAGATATCAGGGAAGCTAGCTCGCTACATATTTTAAAATAAAGCTAAAAATGTATCTGTTCACTTTAGCCTTTAACTAGCTCTGACTTCCTGAAACTGTAAAGTGCTTCGTGATTTCTTGTATGAAAGGTGCTATATAAATACAATTTATTATCATTATTAAACCCATGCAAAACTGCAGTACACCATAATACTAGAACTGGTAGTAATCATTAATTTATGACTGTCATTACATTTGCTAATGATTATTTCAGACTGCAGGGGGACCGGAGAAATACACCACTATACTTCTCCAAAGATTAATCTACAGTACCTCTTGAAATTGACACATTTTTCTGTTCCTGTTTACAAGTTCTGCCTATAATGTGTTCCTTAGGATGCTCATGTGTGAGTAATAATTTTAAGCCCTCACCATGGAGAAGCTTTACCCCCCTACCACCTTTTTCAGGGAAGCTTCTACTTGATCCCATATATATATTTTCATAAACTGAGCTAAGCTGACTACTCTTCTTGTTGAGTATACCTTTAAATGTGAGTAGAACACAAAATAGCATGTCTGAATTTGTCTCTGGTGGACAAGTAGTAAAAATAGCTAAATGTGGTTGTGAGTACAGAGTGGCAGCAACCTGTTTAACTATATATCAAGGCCAAATCAATGCCCTACTTTCTGTTTATTAGTCAGATATGGTCCTCTTCTTTGGAAGATTTTAAATGCTCACATTAAAAAAAACAAACATAACTAAGGAATAAAGTGGAATATAAAACGTCACAATGAAAAACAACCCAGTTATAAAGGACAAAATGTAAAATAATTGTCAATAAAACAGGGGAAATATATATAATTGTGCATTTTTCCACTTTTTTTGTTTGATTTGTTTTTATTGAGGCATTTTAAATCTTCCATATTGTCCTTAGTTGACTTCTTTCTTCTGTCTATCTCTGTTTGTCCCTGTTCATCATGTGTTTGTAGTTGCTCAGTGCCCCCTGTCTTCCCAGTATATGACACATCTCCCTGGTTCAGGTGGCAGAGGACTGTGTAGGCTGTCCTGTTCATTACGCTCCGTTGTCCCTTGCCACTCCTCCTCTCTCCTCTCTTATCCTCTGCTACACTTAAGCCATCGTCTAACCTCTTCTTCCTCTCCTCTGCCTGTCTCTGCACCGAGGCCTACCAAGGATACGTTCTGTCCTCACTTCACCCATCTGTGTTTTGCTGTCTGTCTCTCCCCTCTCTGCATCACCGTCGGAAGACTTCTGCCATTTAGTGCTCATCTGTATTCTCACCCTCTCATCTCTCTTCCTGTCTCCTACATGAATGAGTGTACTCTGGCTTTTGTTCAAAGGTTTTATTCAATTCATTTGTTTCCCCATGTATCCCTTCATCCATTAAATAATATCCGTCCCACCTGGGTCGCCAACCTCCACTTCCTTTCCCTTTTTGTCTCTCACTTTTTGTCCTCCCTTTCTTCCCACTAATCCTCTTTCATTTGCAGAATATAATGGACAGCTGCTTCCATTAGTTTCTTTTCAGTAACCTACTTTCTTGAGGAAGACCAAAAATCAAGCCGTATGTTTCCAGCGTAGCTGCACTTTCATTATTTACTGATGATTCTCTTCATTAGTGGTTTGTTGTGGTAACCAGCAGAAATCAAACACCTCCTATGGTCTGCAAGTTAAAGGGGACCCATTATGCCCTTCCATATTCTCTGACATATAAATAATGTTACAATGTCAAATGTTCATTAAATGTGGCCAGAGTTTCAGATAATGAGGTAAACATCTGTAAGGTAATCCCTGTGAGAAAAACCTTAATCTATGCAGAGCCTATGCCGTATCCTATGCACGTGGCCTACGCTGTTGTGAGCATTTATACTGGTGCAGTGGTGTGTCTGTAGCCATGTTTCCATCAGCCTGTTTAGATGCGCATCTAGAAGTATCGCATTGGAAAATTATGATGCAAACGCCAAAATTCGAATTAAAATCCCCAGATTCGCACAAACTAAAATATGCTCACTTTAGCCGGGTTTTGGTTGATTCAAAAAAATGCTGATTCACAAAACGGGGGATGGAAACAATTATGTTCGAATTAAGTCTGACATAGCGCACCTCTCTCCATGGTGATAACCACACTCCGGGTTGGGAAGGCGGTAATGCATTTACAAGCTGGTTGCCAACCACCAGAAAGAGGAAGAATGCGAGACTTGTTTTGTTTCTGATTCTGCGGAAAACTCACGCGAGTTCGTAGTTTTCATCAAAGTCCGTACATTTAATGGAAACACACAGGATTCGTATTTATTTTAATGTGTATTTCCCAATGATTTGAATCACTTTTGGATGGAAACATAGCTTGTGCCACTCTGCAGTTACACCTCCAAAACACTAGTCAGCAGTGGGGTTTCTGTGAAGTGCTTTAAAGTTGAGTTGATTCAAAGTACACCCAAAACACACATTAAACAAGGCTTAATAGAGACAATTTAAAACACAAGTACACAAATCAGCTTCACTATAACTCACACCATTCACATACAAAGCACTTGTCTTTATCTGGACACATTTTCCCCAGAAAAACAACATGCTAATGTTTTTAGCACACATTATATAAATTAGCCTAGAACCTAGCAGACTTTTCCTCTTCTCATATTAATCTAGGCACAACAGCAACATTTAACAAAGGTAATTCGTCTCTATTACCACTCATAAGGTTCACCGACAAAACAGCTGTCTTATATTTAACACTTTTTCCAAACAAATATAACATGCTAACATTAATAGCACAAGCCTATGGTGTTTTACATTGTATGAATTAGCCTAGCAATGAGTGGAGATTTCCTCTACTCATATGAAGCCAGGATAAATCACACACATGACTTAAAATGCTATTTTTGTGGAGGCTTTGTCTTCACAATTTATTGTTTCTTATCTGTGAAATTAAAGTAGATAAAAGCTTATTTCCACTGAGGGAAATGGTTTCAGTTTACAGAAACAGACAGGACGTCTGCATCGCAGCGACATGTATTTACATTTCTGGGGAGGTGTACATCAGGCTATAGAGACAGAGTGCAATGCGTCATAATCTGAAAGCCCTCCCCTCCGCTTCTTCGCTCATTCGCTGTCATTCTGCCTCTGCAGCCGCGCCTTCAAGTCTCCATGACCGAATTGCTAGCTAGCTAATAATTAGCTATAGCTAGCTAATAATTAGCTAATAATAAGATGGCAAAAGATTATTTTAGCACGCTATGCCTACCAGAGAGGCAACGGTATATTGATAAGTGTAATATTGCCGGTCTACCTCAGTGTCCCTTCTCCTTACCTTGCTCATTTTGGAAAAAGCATGATGTGGAGATTCTTTTTTAAGAAGATGAACATTTCGGCATGCTCAGCCGTCAGCCTGCTCCTACTACCGGCACACGTTGTTGTTTTGAGACATGCCTCTACATGCTGGTAGATTGATAGAAGTGCTAGAGTGGACCGCTGGAATGGACTGCTTGAATCGCGGAGCGCTGGGCACAATTATAACAGAAGTTGCATTGATACTGTCAATGCTTTAGCTTAACATACATAAATACAGTTAACTGTTACTCTAAGAAATATATTTGGAGGGTTGGACAAAGTGTTTGCTGCACACATAGGCATACTGAGTGTCAGGATCCCACAGTTTCTTCCCTGTTGAAGCCTTACGCCTGTATCCACTTTTGTCTTCTACAAGGTTCCATTTTTCTGCTCGGCAGCTGATAAAAGCTAAGCTCTGGGTTTTTATTGGCCGTGCAGCCCACCACACAGCAACTTTTCAGCATTTGGACTTAGGGAAAACTCAACAGGCTGGAAACGGAGGGGGAAAGTGTGAGGGGGCGTGGCTTTCAGATTATGACGCATTGTGCTCTGTCGCAATGGCATAGGCTCTATGTTAACGCAGAGCCTTTGATTCAATGCAGAAGTATAAATCCCGCATTAGGCTTCATACCGTTCTGAATACTCTGTTTTCATCATTTTTTTTCTACATACGTGGCAAGCTATAGTCTGCTCGTGATGAGTGTCTGTATATGGTCATCTGCTACATTACGTAGCCTACACTGCTATATGTAGCTACAATGCTAACATCAGGGAAAGTTGTGTTTTGAAGCTTTAATTGGTGATTCATTTTATGGTAGGAAGTGCTGCCCTACTCTGTTATAGTCATTCCCCAGCTCAAAGTACACTGCTACATGAGGCTACATGCTGACGTCAGGGATTTTGGATTTTGGATCATATTCTTGCTTGAACATGTCCCTTTGTGAAGATTTTGTTTAGAGGCTTTTATGAGTGATTTTCACAATAGAAATTGCAGCTATACCCTGTTACATTCTCCTGCTGCATAATGGTGCAGGAACGCAGAGCGCAGACAGACAGAAGACCTGAAAACGCTTACCAGTCATTGCAGATTGGGTTTATTCGAGAGGGGGGGCGTAAAGAGAGGCCCTAAAATGGAGCATTTAAGACAGAAGGTGAATACAGGTTTTCCAGCTCAGATAGTGTGAGGATAATAAAGTGTTTTTTTGAACATTAAAGCATGTACACATGTTCTGGTTATAACCAAAAATACAAGTATGAACCTGAAAATGAACTTCGCTGTCCGTGTAGTCGTGGTCTGTGTGACAAATTTCATTTTCTACCCATGTCTGTGAGGGTTTGTTGTATGAGGGTGAATGTGCTAACTGCATGTATTTCTCAGTGGGTGATTTAAATTTGAATCTTGATGGGAAAACTGAGATGTCTGGAGCTTTTAGGCAATTTAATACAGATGGAGACATCAGATATGACCCTGCTCTACTTACTTTGTTACAAAGGATGTGAAAGCCTTTAATAGTATGTTGTAGAGAAACCTGGTTTAATTAAACTTCATGTCTTTTTGCTGAAATTAGCATTTTAAAAACAGTGTTTTTACATGAAAATCTGAATAAACTACATGCTGTTATAGTACCATAATTGTGGCCATGATCATTGTACTTAAAAATAAATATCAACTCTGCCTAGTCTCCACATATATCTTTCTTTTCTTTCCTTTTGTACAGACTTACCTTAACCTCAGCCATAACCTCTAAAAGCCCCAATCGTAACAGTAACCTTCACTAGAAACTGAGTCTCAACCTTAACCCAGAGGTAAATGCTTACCTATTCTTGTGGGGACTCTAGTCTGTCCCCACACAGTGTATGAACAGATCCATGTCCCCACATCATCATTAATACAAAACCACACACGCATCCCAGATTTTTTTTTCGGTCCCAGAAGACAGAGAGCACAATTTGACACCTCCCAGCGTCCCGGGAGACAGAAAGCAAAAGGCAGAGGGCAGGAGGCAGGGGGGAGAAATAGTCAGACGGGGAGAGCGGAGCGACAAACATAACAGACAGAGAGACAGTCAGAGTCAGAGCTGCAGACAACTTCGCCTCCTCTCAGCATCACTATAATTATCGCCTCTGCCTCAGCTCTGGCACACTGTCATCATGTTAACACTCCGCATTGTACATTAATCACTGGGCCACAACGACTGCCACACAAGCACATCTCACACACACACACACACACACACTTATAATTCCCCCCTCCCGCTGGTCTAAAATGGTAATGAGCTATAATGGGGTTGGGTTAATGAACAAGAGAGGAGCAAAGTTTTGGGGATGAAGGAGGCAGGGAGGGTGTGTGAGTACCATCGCATGGCTCATTTATCAGGATGTGTGTGTCTGTAAAATATCAGACCTCCGTGAGTCAGCGCTGTCACTCCTGAAACACCACAATAATTGTGCTTGGAAAGCGAGCCCAGTGAAGGTCAGAACTCATTTTTGCTGGGGACCTGAAGGTAAAACCAATTACAGCAGTGTTGATACATTAGTGGTTTGGTGTTTTCTTGCACGACTAAAGGTCAAAATCAATCAGAAAAATATTAAATATTAAAAAAAAATTAAATCCATAACATTAGAATTGCCAGTCTAACTGAAGTGACATGTGTCTCAGTTGTTATTGTGTGAAAGCTTTTCATTTAGGCGTGTGTGCCACGAAACTCAATGTCATGTCACAGTGTCACACTTATTGTTCACTCCTCCAGAGCATCAGTCTGTGTTTGCTAACAGCACGGATGCTGCAGTTTTCTCGTCTTGAAGCAGTTCAGTTGCTACCTTGTTTGGATTTAAACACTACAGGACCTCAGTGGTGATCTTGGCACTTGTGGGCCCCAGGCAAAGAAGCCCATCAAGTCCCCCACGCCCCAATAAAAATGCATTCAGTCAAAAAAATGCATTGATCTATTTTGCTTGATCAGATTTTACAATCATTAGTCGTAGTAGTACGGTAGCTAGAAGGGGCCCCACTTAGGAGGTTTTTGGGGCAGTAGCGGTGCACTGTATAGTACCTTTATGGGAGGTTGAGGGGGTTTTCTAGTTGTCATTCCAAAATGTGGTTTCCTCTCTTGACAGTGCGTCCCTGTAGGCCCTGGATTTGTAGACTTTTCTAAGGCTGCTTTCAGACCTAGAGTTGTCTTGCTTTGGTTCGGCTCAGGGACTTATTTTGTCACAAAGTTGCATAACTGCCTAGAGTTGGTTCGTGCTTCTAGGTAGCATTTACAAGCAGACCAGATCAAATGCTATGCATGAGAAAGCTGCTCATGATTGGTCAAAATTTCCATTCGGGAAAAATCCAGGAAGTAAACAAAACGTTGAAGAAGAGTATACTTGCAAGATAAATGCGACACTTTCTAATGTCACAATGGAGGGACAGCTACGCAGGTTGATTTTAGCGCTGCTCATCGTGGACTATATTGCTGTCATTGTTCATTTTAGTCAAACCATACAGTTTGAAAACGAGGTGCGGCTCCAACTAGAAAACAATGTTTTGATGCATTGGATGTGCTGAATGTGCATATTAAGGCAGTACAGGAGGAGGTGCATATTAATAATCCTCCAGGACTGTAACATGCTCATGTTTAACCCAACAATGCGTAATGTGACTGCTGTTGGTTTGGATCGAGGTCAGAACACGTTCTCACCAGACCAGAATTCATTTGTAACCATGACCACCTCTTCAAGAAGGTCTTGGTCCGGTTGTTTTGGTGCACACCCGAGTTGTGTTCCCACCTGCCCAAACGAACCGCACTTAGGAGGCAAATGAACTTGAGTTCGATCGAACCGAACCAAACTGGGCAGGTGTGAAAGCACCCTACAGCGTATAGAGTTTGGAGACTATATAGGTAGATGAATGAATAATGTGAAGGACTTTGTGGTTTCCGAAGAATTTCTGAACACCTCTGTCTTTCTTCTTTTTGTGCTTGCAGAGTGTCGTATGATGAAGTCAGTGACCTATGGAAAGATGTCTGGCTCTCTGAGCCGAGGCTCCCCAAGGACCGCCATCCAGTCACGGCGCAGCAAGTCTCCTGCATCTGGTAACGGTCTTTCCTCTTCTTGTCTCCTCTACCTCTTGAGGAACTCATTTGTTAATGGGGTTTGGCATGGTGTCATTGTCCTTTAAGCATCCTTGCTACTGTGTGTTTGTGCACAAGGAGTGTGTGCAGCGGTGTCTCAGACCTGACGGACACAGTTTGGAGTTGTTTGTATCCTGGTACTTCCGCATGTGATTGCTTAGTATTTTCTAGCTCATTACTTAATCAGCGTCGCAATAAATGAAAACAGTATGAGTAAACACTGCAATGATATCAGAGCTCTGCGGAGTGTCTAGCTGTTTACTGTGTGTGTGTGCATGTGTGAGCTGTGTCTGGTTGCATGCAGAATATGAATTCAAATGAGAATGATTTCACAAGGGAGTGGAGAAAAAGGCAAATAGGGATGAGAGAGGTAAAAAAGAGGGGGAGTGAAGATGAGAGGGAAAGAAGAGGGAAGGGGGTTGGTGACTCAATCCTGCAGCTCCTCACAAGCCGTTCTTCACCTGACATACTAATGAATGTAATAAAATGGTGAGAGCTTGCACTGCTACCTGCTGCATTGTTTGCACCTGATAATGATGCTTTTATGAATGCCTCACAAAAAAAAGAAGAGCAGAAACACCCCTTTTGATGCAGCAAAGCACAAAATAGATTGAAATAAAAAGACAGGGCATTCATTCTAACAGTTCAATGCAGCTTTCATGAATGCACCAGTGTGGCAAACATTCAGTTGGGCTCAGAGCTGGTGAGGACTTGGTGATTTTCCTGATTGCACAGCTTGAGCTTTGGCTGTGTGTAAAACACCTAGTTATGCACAGCACATTTGACTTTTCATCCTTATTATTTTGGGATTTGAGTGCACAGAGACTTATTGGGTTGGGGATTAGTCAATGGGGTGATGCAACATGCAGAAACTCCCTGAGAGGATGTCGTTCCACCTGCTGTTGGAGCACACGAGCATGCACGGACGGACGCCATGCAGCATTTGCAGAGTGAAAACAGTTGTTTGTGTTTTGTGTCGAGCTGTGGAGGGAAAGGTGAGGCAGAGGAGAAAGCGAGGGGAGGAGAGAAACAGCTGGGTTGAACCGAGAAAGTTCTGGATGCTGATAGCTTAAAAACTTTGGGAAAAAGGTTATGCGAGTGAGTCATACACTATCTGATCTCATTGTCTGGAATGAAGGTGTGTGTATGTGCATGTGTGTGTGTGTGTGTGTGTGTGTGTGTGTGTGTGTGTGAGACAGAGAGAGAGAGAGAGAAAACAAGAGACTGAGACAGAGGGAGAAAAAAAAGACTGACTCGTCTTGGTTGCCATGGAAACATAGCACAGTAGGAGCATGTAGCTACAGACACAATAGTCTGTGACAGCCATATAAGGCAGTGACTTCCTGTAAAATGGCCTGCAGTGGAGAACGGAGCTGACTGACGCTCGGTCCTCGCTGGATCCCTGAGTCAGACCGTCCCGACGTTTTCACTTCTGAGAAATGTTCCCCTTCTGGCGCTGCTTCCGCCACTTTAACATCATCTGATGTTCCCAGATTGCTGTTGACTGTTGTGTGCCGCACTGTATTCATCCCCTTAAACATCATCACTCTGGTCGGCGAGGAGGTCAGAGAGGAGCGACGGGAGGAAATGACAGATAATTGATGATCTGCTGTTTGACCCTGACTGACTGTTGTTTTTTTACTCTGTTGTTAACAATAGAGTAGGGTTTTTCCGCTTTAAAACACACCATACCCTCTTCCCTTGGGGACAGTTTGCCCTAGAATTATGCCAGTAGTCAACAACAGCTGATACTGCCTGCAGCACCACATGGACTATTATAAAGGTGCCCATTCTGTTCTTCCGTGTTCAAGAACAGACCTCAGTCTCTGCACGGAAACGACAGAAATCTCACACAAGAATGATGTGAGAAAGAAATTACACACTTCTGTTGATGCAGATGAGTTTACCATTTACTAATTTCATAGATTCACTGTGTTACAGCTGTATTATGATTTGATGTAAGACAGAGTGTGCTTTACATTTACACATGTGATTTATTTGCTATTTATCATCACATAAAAGTTTAATAACCAAGACTTACTATTTGAGAAACAGTTGATTCCTGCCAGAACTAGTGTTTTCTGAACTGCATCAAATAATACTACTGTTGAAATAATTAGTCAGTTAATCAATTAGTTGACTTACAGAAAATGAATCAACATTTTGATAATTAATTAATAATTCATCATCAAAAGTACTTTTTGGTAAACTGTATATGTTTTAAATTTTGGACTGGACCAAACGAGCAATTTGAAGATGTCAAATTTGTGCTCTGGGAAACTCTGCTGAGCATTTTCCCAATTAGTTAAACATTTATAGATTTACATTTATTCAGTTAATGTGAGGGGGAAAAAAATGTAAGAGGTATTTCACTGCTGAAAAGATGGTCTTTTGATAAAACTGGGCTGTGTGTGCAGTGGAGAGACGCATATACTGGACCACCAAACGCTTGAACTGCTGCGTGATGTAACGTGAGCTTGGCTGAATCCAAATGTCCGCACTCGCAGACTTTGCGGGCATGTTCCTGGGAAGTCTGGGAGTGCTGTGGGCTGCCCAAATCCACAATTCCTCCAGTCCACAATGGGCATAAAGCAGACTTTCTGCAGACTTCTAGAGCGTCTGCTTGGGATGCAGACTTCAGCAGACTTCACTGATTTTAATTGCCCACAATTCATTGCAACGCAGATGAAAGGTGGTAGTTTCTCTTTTTCAATAGCCGACTAAAAAAATCAAAACGTTATGTATATGTAAAATAATCACTGTACCTATTAAAACAATTCTGGAATCATGTAGGTCAGAAATAATATTCGACAACATCATGATACAGAAATATGTAGAAATACAGGCTATAGGTTGTGCTGTGTAATATCAAATATAAAGGCTTGAAAAGTGGCCAAAATACAACTAAAGAACATCTGATACAAGTAATAGGCCTAAACAATTTATTTAGTTGTAGCTCAGTCCATATTTACAACCATCTGTGTATTTAAATGTCTCCAGTCAGAAATTTATTTTGTTCACTCACAAACAACCCTATACATGGGATTTATATCTTGTTATCTGCAGGGACAGATGAGTGGACAGAATATGACAGCAATTACAATGATTGTTTCCATGATAACTAGTAAAAACAGTCTTGAGGACTGTCTATCAGTGGCTTGCAGTATCTGCCCTCGGAGACTTTACGTGATGACGATGAACTTGTCACAGTGTGTCCGCGAGGGTTCAGCCCGCAAGTCCAGAAGGTGGACATTTGGATTCAGCCCTTTGTTTGTTTTGACACAGGAAACAATATGGCAGCCAGCTGGTACAAAACAATATTGAATTACAGTTAAAAAGTAAGCGACAGAATAACAGAATCTCGGTTTCTATTTGTTCAGCACTGCTTAGTTTTACTGTCTGAGCTCAGTTTTTTCAGCCTCCGTTTTGATAATACAGGAAACAGTATGGTGCCAACTTTCTGTTCAGAAATTCTTGTGCACTAAAATATTTTTCTGAAATAGGCAACACAGTAACGGACTTTTGGTTATAGATTGATCGTCATTTGGTCTGTATTTGAAAGAGAGAGGACGGGGCTGGTCTCTATCTGCTTCTGTACCTTTGTGTCTGTGGTGGCGGGCATGCTGTAATGTGGAAGTACAATCTTTAGTTTGAGCAACAGCCCTAGAGCCAATTGGAGATTCTGAGAGATGAGCAGGGAGATCTGGGCTCTGGTAAGATGGAGGGAAGTTTATCATAGTTGATTAACACATACTGCACCACATTGTTATGATGCAAAGCTGGTTGAAAATCGGCAAAGTATCTCTTTTATAGATTAATCAGGAATAAAAGTGATGGTTAGCTGCAGACATAAATCAAACAAAATGCTCAAAATACCAAAAAACAAATAATCACAACAACACCAGGAGACTCCATCTCACATCAACAACACAAGCGGATCTAAAAAGGCTGCTGTTCCTGAGGTTCCAGTCTCATGTGGAAACTGTGTGTGACTTGCAGATTGTTATCAAACATTCTTGCTATTTTTGTTGTCAGGATATGAGAGATTTCTGTCACCTGACGTTGTCTAGTGGACCTTTGGCTTTACAGCACGCTGACAACAAGTTAATATTCAGCAGTATAAAAAGATATTCACCCCAACTGATGACACTCCAGTCTAATCTCCAGCTCAAACAGTGTGTCTGCTTTGTAACATCACTGTATTCATTGTATTAAATGTAATAATAATGTGGGCCTTTAAGCCCATTACCTCTGAAAGATGATTCATTATTCAAAATGTTATCTCTGCTTCCGTCAGTTATTTAATTGCAGCTACACTCAAAACCTTTTTATCTGAGATCTTGGCAATGAAATTAAAAGTACGGACACCAGACAAGAGAGCTCCGTTCATTTATTGATATTTAGAAACCAGCAGCTCGTAGGATTTTATTATTTCTCATCCACACCATGCAGAGAGAGCACATTAAAGAGCGCAATTCATTTAAAACCTTTTGCTGCGGGTCTTCAGGTGTTTGAAAATGCAGCCTTGAAGTCCCATATTCATTTTCAGCCAACGCAGGCATTAATAACATTCTTTATCACGTCTAATAATCTGGACCGAAGGAGACGCACAGAGAAGATGTGAAGCGTGAATTTCTGTGTGAGATAGTGAACGAGACAGAGGGAGACGGAGAGGGTGAGGCAGCGTGTAACACAACACGTGTGCTTTCAAACACCACCTGGTGTCCTTCTGCGTGTCTGGCTGCTCTTTGCTGTGTGTGTTTGAAGCTTAGACCTCAACACCACTGAGGAGCAGAAGTGCGTGTGAGGGACTGACAAACAGACTGGAGAGACAGCCAGAGAGACAGTCAGAGGACAAACAAAGGGTCTCATACTCTAAATGTAAGATTATAACGTATACAATAAAGGGATTCGCCCCCTTGCAAGTTTTCATGCTTTATAGCTTTGTAATATTGAACATT